GGCGGGTGGGGGGTATGGAGGGGGCTGTCCCCTCCGCGGCAAAACCGCCGTTGTTGAGATTTGAGGGGTTTCGGGGAGCGGGCTTGGGAAGTTCCCCGAGTGCCCCCCCCCGGGGAGCGTCCTTGCCCGGCGGAGGGGGATGGGGAGCCAGCGCCCGGTCACCGGAGCCCGTTCCGGAGGGTGAAGGCGGTCTGTAAAGCCAGGGGATAGTTTTCAGAAGCTTTTGTGAAAGTCTGTCTTAGGAGGATGTGATGTAAACTGATTAAGCGATAACTGCTTGCTTCCACATTGGTGCAACAAACAGCTAAAGAAGCAGAAAATGTGCGAAAGTAGCGTCTCTTGCAATGCTGGTATTCAGCGGCCGACGATGCACTTAACAGTTGCACGGTGAATAAATAAATATGATTTAAGTTATTCCACAATTAGAAAGCATTGTAATTCAAAAGGACTGAAGTATTCATAAATTGTGAATGAAGATGGAAACAATGATAAGGCTTATTCAGTGATTGGATACAGTCCTGTAGCTTTTTGGCTGACACATTTTTTATTGTTTATATTTTGTTTGGCATCTAAGCGTGATTGACTTAGATATGGATATTTTCAGCAAGTAAACGTGAGCTGCAGTGGAGCAAAGCTGGAAAAGAGTACTGTTGAGATAGTCCTTCAGAAGAGAAATGAATGCATGTAGTAAGCGTTTTGTGTACTAGCTACGCACACGCTTACAGGTACATGCATAGAAATAATTACTTATGGTGGAATCTGCAATTAGTAAAAATTAATTCTGTGTGGGCTGTCCATCCTGTGAAATTATTGACAGGCAATAAGACCTCTGCACCAGAGTATAAACCTGAGAGTACAACTTAAGAAAGCTTTTTTTACATTGGAAACATGCAAATTTTTACCACCACCTCTATTGCAGCGGGTAGTTAATTTTGTTGTTTGCTGCTGTAATGACATTTTTTTCCACGTTTGCTTGTTGGACTCACAGATGTAATAGACTTCCTCATTCTTTACAAATCTGTATTAAAATACTGCACACAGGTGTATACAAAAACACAACATTGTACTTCTACAGCCGCAAATACAAGAAAGCAATTCCTGACTTTCGTGCGCTGATAACTTCTCCATAATACTTCACGCTGTATCATGTGCTATGCAGAGACAGTTCCCATTTAGTGGAACATACATGGAACACAGTTGCAGCAAATTGCTTTTAATTGGGAACCTTTCTCTACCTGATTGGAAGGATGAAGGCATTTTAAAAATCGTCTTTCCTCTCCATAAATTAAAAATTAATATTACACTGACAATGAGAATTTATACTTTCTGTTATTTGTTTATTTAAAGCAAAAGCTTGATTAATCTTATTTTGAGTTGGGACTGAGTTAAAGTAGTACGGCCAAAACTGTTCTCTCTATTGTGTTCCCTGTCTCCAGAGCTCTTAAGATGCACATTGACTGTGGTAGTGTATGCTCAGGAGAAAATATTTTGGTAAAAGTTCTAGACACAGAACACCTGTTTGGACCGAGCTCCTTGTGAAAGCAGTAGTTCAGTTTGTGCTGAGACGGGGCTGAAGCTCCTTTTAGAAACAAGTCTTAAAATCCAAAGTACAGCTTGAAGACAAACCTTGGCAATTCGAATTTTACCATTGATGCTTTCAGTAAAAGTTTGGTGGGTGTAAAATAACTCCAAGGAAGAATGAAGACGTACCAAGTGTGATTTAATTTTTTGGGAGTGCTTTCCTCTCCTTCCCACATGCCTTTCCCCCCCCTGTTTTGGAATGAGCATAAGCTGCATTTATCTCTCTTGCTGAGGCACGATAGGATGCAGTTACTGCATGCCTTTAAACGCTTGGTCTCTTCTCGTATTTTTGCCGTGGTTTATTTTTATGTTATGGTGGTCCAGGAAACTCAGAATGTGTTGTCATTTTCTTGTCCACTGAGAATATGTTGTTTCATTAGGCACGGAGAAAATCCATGCAGAGTACATGAAGTGTTCTGTATAAAATTTCTAGGCTTCTGCCTGGTATATTTATTGTATCGTCCTCAGTTCAAACTTGATTGAATTGATACAAAGTTTACAAAACTGGAAGGTAGGAGAAGGACGTTGCATTTCCCCTTTACCTTTTCCAAAAAGAAAACCTGGCCTATCTATCATCATTAGATGACGGCTATTTTTTCCTTTATTTACAAGCTACATAGATAATACATAGTAACTTCCATTTTAATTTAAATTGCCAGTGCACAATGGTTCACCTGAGCCATTTGACACGACATTTGAAAATCTTACCTCCATAAATCACTTTATTGCAAGAGCAACTGTGGCACATGGGTAAGTGCCACATAAAAAAATATATTTCAGTATTGCCTGTATGAATATTAAGGGGTAAAAAATCAAATTCTGTAGATGGCTTTTTAGGAGGTTTAGTGGAGAACGTGTGTGATTAATTGCAAGTCTCCATTTAGGATCATTTTTATGGGCACTACTTCTTGTCAAGTAATGTTTCATTTGAAAGGACTCCAGATGCACAATGAATCTTTCAAAGATACCTGATAATATTGCTTTGGAACAGGATGTTCTTTGCTGTGTTTCTCCTTCACACACTTTCACATATATTTGTATCTTTGCGTCTTGATGATATTATGAAAGAAAAGCTTGAATACAGTTAATACAGTTTTTAAAAGGGTTGGGTGTTTTGTTGTTTTTTTTTTTTTCTTTTTTCTTTCACTCGTTGAAAAGGAAACATTCAGCCACTACAAATTGGAATTTAAGAAGTGGAATTTTTCTCTATAAAATTTTCACAGATGTAAAATGCTATAGGTAATTATTGGTAATGCTATGTGTATTACCTAAAGGCACAGCCATTCCAAAACAGTTTTTGATGTTCTTCTTAAAAATGAAAACTAGGTGTGTAGTATTCTGGTAGTGTAGAATTTTTCCACATAAGTTTTGTTGCCATTTTAAGTTATAAATGATGAAATCTCTGTAGGTGTAGGGGAAATCATTGTATTGGGGCAAAAATTCATTTCTCCCAAAGCTCTTCAGCCCCCTGCCTTTGCCCCACCTTTAGCCCCAGCTGTTAGAATTTTCAAAATCTGTAGTAAATCTGTTTTATTCAGTCTAAAATGAATTGTAAGGATTTAACACTGCACAGTCTTTATGCTTATGTTAATGTATTTTTAAAATTTTATTTGAATACTTTGATTAAGATGACTTCTGTAGAAAAAAAATAAACTTTCTTTAGTAGTTATAATTGAGGGGAAAAAAAACATGGCATCAGAAAGCGTATGAAGATAGGGAAGTCTTATCATGGGCTGTGGTTACTCAGAGCAGTATTGCCTTCCCACACAAAGAACAGATTGTGGTTTAACTCTTTCCATGGCCTAGTTTTATGTGCTAGTATAGTATCGGAATTGTTCAAATCTCTGCTGGAAACTACTAATCAGTTTAATTATTGCCTTTGTGGCTCTTTGTCAAGCATCATACTGTAATGCAATCATTTATGTCCTGAATTATCTTTCTATATTGTCTCTCTCTTCTTTTTTTTCTTATTTTTTTCTCCTTTTTTTTTTTTTTTTCTGCGAAGGTAATATGGTCGTAGGTGAACTGCTTGCAACTTTTCTATTGTTTGATTTGAGGATGGTTAGGGAAGAGAGGTAACTAGATCTAGTGGGTTTTTTTACCATTCAGGAAATTTTGAAGTTTGTTTGAAATTTGAAGATTTAAATACTAAATTCTTGGCCTGAAGCTTCTACAGTGGCAGTCTGAACTCTGTATAATTGAGACCATTAGTTATACTTTCATCATTTTTACCTAATGGAGTTAATCAGCCTATTGATTAAACATCACTCATTCCTTGTCTAGCAGCGTAGGTAAAATATTAGTTTTTTAATTGTGTTCTTGAGTATAATTGTATAAAAGAGGTTCAGTTTTAGTTTGATTGCACCGTGCCCCTCAGTATGATGAGCAATCTGCACGGTATTTAAAACTAGATATGCCTGCACACAGGAAGAAAGATACCTCCCCTAAGGTTTCCCTTCCAAACCAAAATACAGTAATGTTTGATAAGCGGATCGTGCTGTTTTAAACAGCGGATTTACTCACAGAAAAGAAGCATTAGTTTTTGGGAAAGGCCTATTTAGATATTAACATGGATGTGTAGGACGGTACTTTACGCAGACAAAACGAATTAATTTAATTGCTATAGGATGTACTTGTAGACGACAACTAAGCATTACCTCCTTAATGCAATCCATATCGCTGCTAGGCAGAAGATAAGAACTTGCAGGTGAAGCCAGATGACAGAGAGGGATATTTTGGAACTGTAAATAAATTGCATGGATTTCACAAAAGCAGCATTTGACCAGCAGTGCACTCGTAATGTCACTCTGCCACAGCATGCAGAAACACAAAGAATGCAAAGTTTGTGCCAAGTTGCCATTTTTCATTGTACACCTCAGATTGATTTTTAAGGGGTTTAGAATAATTGCCACACTCATGTGATCAGTTAACAAATTAACTGACTCTGTGGGGCTTCAAAACCCACAGTGGAGCTGACGGAAGAACATAAATGTAATTTTTGTTCTCAACTTCATAAACTTTTATTTTACAGGGTTTGGGGGTGGTGGGAGGGAAGCCCGAAGAGCTGAAAGTACAGAAGCTTCTGTTCAGGATTTGTATACGACACGCTGTGTCTTTTGCCCGCTTTCCCTTACTGTATACTGGTTTCTCTAGTTACCACCACTGGAATGGTACTGAAACAGTGCTGGAATGTTGGACGTTTGATAAGAAAATGGATCAAGTTTAATGGCGCATGCTCTTTGTGCCACCAGCAGTCTCTTGCTGAGAGCATGCTCCAAAAGCGGGAACTGTGTGGCATTACACTGAGCATGTATATGCTTTGTGTTTCTGTGCCACAGAGAAGAGAAATGAACTGTGGCATTCGCCTCAGCGTTCTGAACGTTTCTGCTCAGATTTTTTAAAACCGCATAGTGTCCTCTTTGTGCAATGGTACTTTTCTTGATGTTAGCCATTCACTCAGATATTTAAATGTTAGAAACAAAACATCTTGATAGCATCTCTTTTAAATGATGTTATCTCTGCGGGAATGAAGTGAAGGGAGGCATACAAAATAAAATCTTCACATGGTTGTTTCAAAGAGTGAAATACGGGGAAAAGACAATTCTCTGTGAACGTTTTGTCTGCTGCCTGATAGCGGTAGTAATTGCATAAAAAGGTGTTATGCAGAAATTTGCGTAGATTTTAAGTGTTTATTCTCTTCATCTTGGATTTAGCTTTAAGATTTTCAGAAACCTTTCTTGATACTGCTTTGATTATGAGGACTTACTGACTTTGAGTTTTCTTCTTCTCTTCTTTTTTTTCCCTCCGCTTCTTTCCACAGGATGAATTTCACCCGTTCATTGAGGCACTTCTTCCACATGTCCGTGCAATTGCCTATACTTGGTTCAACCTTCAGGCTCGAAAACGCAAGTACTTTAAAAAACACGAGAAACGAATGTCGAAGGACGAGGAAAGAGCAGTCAAGGATGAGCTACTTAGCGAAAAGCCTGAAATTAAACAGAAGTGGGCATCCAGGCTCCTGGCCAAGCTGCGCAAAGATATTCGCCAAGAGTTCCGGGAGGATTTTGTGCTCACGGTGACTGGGAAGAAGCACCCATGCTGTGTATTGTCCAATCCTGACCAGAAGGGTAAGATTAGGAGAATCGACTGCCTGCGACAGGCTGACAAGGTCTGGCGTCTGGATCTAGTCATGGTGATCCTGTTCAAAGGCATCCCCTTGGAAAGTACGGATGGAGAGCGGCTCATGAAATCCCCACATTGCACAAATCCAGCACTTTGTGTCCAGCCACATCACATAACAGTATCAGTCAAGGAGCTTGATTTGTTTTTGGCATACTACGTGCAGGAGCAAGGTAGGAAGCAGATTGTCGTCTTTCTATGTTAGTATGTCAAACTCTGATTCCAAGTAGCCCCGTTTCCCCTATGGGCAGGCTTCCAGTGAAACATTGTTCTGTGGTGTTCTGTGGTCTATAGACGTAATGTGGGTACATATCCATATGTAAATCAGCATGTATACATATATACTTACATACACACACATTCCTACAGACCTGTGTAAATGACATGTATGTTTGACACACCTGCCTTGTTCTCTTTCAAGAGAGAGCGGGACATACCAAAGTAGTACTTTAGTTCCGCTGAAGTTGCCTTTTTTTTTTTCTTCTTTTGTGTCAAAAAGTGGCAATATATTGTGTAGTTTTTCCAGCCGTGACTTCAGAAAACATTCTTCTTGTTTTTCAAGTTGGGTTTTATTTTAGTTCCCTCAGTACTGCTAGTAACAGATGCAGGTATGGGCAATTGCACAATCACAATAAATACTACAAATATTCATTATTGTCTTTGTAGCTACAAATAATCAAGAATTCATCCTTAAACCGATGAACTTACTATCACTTTGAAGAGCAATTGCAGACTTTCTCACTCTATAAAATAAAATATGAAAAAACTTTAGCACAGAAATACTGCTTTGTAAATACCGTATGTAGTCAGAATTACAGCATACAGTACTTAACGTTTTATTAACATTTTACACCGCTAGCTCATCTTACCTATCTGAGATTTAAAACAAAGATCCAGGTTGTAACATTTTGAGAGAATTTTCCATGAAAAGTATATTTTCATAATTACACTCGCATACTTAATTTTATTTTGCAGATAATTGAAATGTGGAAAATTGCAGCAACACTATGGAAAAGCTTCTTAAACTTAGTTTTACAGAATGAAAATGAAAACAGGGCTTCTGATAATCATGTATGAGGGAAAAAACTGCTAGTCACATCGCATATTCAGATAGCAGTACTCGTAGGCAGGTTTCTCGAAATTGTAAATGGCTGTAAGGAGATAAAGGCTTTTTTTTTTTTTTCTCCAATACTAAGCCTTCTGAAATGCTTTTTGTCTGTGAGGGGTGATTTTGGTTCTCTCTGGTGATTATACCATCCTCTAGACATCTTTGTATTGCTGACTGATCAGCAGTAATAAAGCATTTCTTTTTTAGCCGCAGATCTCAACTAGGGAAAGTTTGACTGGCCGCAGATGGTGGGCCATTTTACAACTTGGCCTGGTAGTGGGCAGGAATGGCCTGCAGAAGGGCAGATGGCAGGCTGTTGTTATCTGATGCCCAGTACATAACTGTGGGATTTAACGGGAAAAACAAACGGAATGGATTTTGTTCGCAACAAAAAAGTAAAACTGCACGTGTCTTCGTTGGGTGTGCACTCATTCTTTAAAAGAACAGATACACACCACAACCTTTTTGTTTTCGGTGAATTTGTCTTTTAGCATTTACTCACACAAGTGGAGCACTATGTTTATGTGAACCTATAAATAGGGTTCAATTTTTTCAATTATTCATTGTGAAAAAATACGGTTCATTGTTTTGTTTTGGTTTGGTTTTTTTCCCTGCTTGTATTTTTTGTATTTGTCTTTCCACAGCAGCAGAAAACACTTAGATGTTTTGCAGCGACTTCACGTAGCTGCAGAGTCTGGTAAATCTGATCCCCAGTAGCATAGGGAGAAAGATTTCTTTGATAGCATTAAACAAAATAGTTTAATTACAAATAATTTGTACCTTTAAACTCCTCTGTGAAGAGAAATTCAAATGATATTTGGAATGCATATATTGCAAGACATAGCTTACTGATTAATTCTAATGGATTTACCTGTCTCTAAAAGTCAAAACTACAAAGGGAGGCAAAACAGTTTAAGTAGCTCTTGAGCCGAAGACGCTGGGGTCAGAGTACTCTTACACACTGTCGACGTTTAAGTTGTTGGAAGCTTGAGCAACTTGAAGTGGGAGAAGGAATTGCATGGCATAGCTGATTTTATTGATTTAAATGGATTGTGAGAATGTGAGTTTATTTAAAACACTTGTCTAATCATAAATGAGTGAGATAAGTATGCTGTAATATTATAACTTTCAAAGTTACACGATACTACTTTGAGAATATACTGGAAGATGAAGCTGTCGAATTTCTGCGTACCAAGTCACCCTTAGTAGACCCTTTTGTTTGTTGTAAACTGCACATATTTTGTGTCTGTCTTGCTGCTTCACAGTAAACCTTCCATTAACATCTGTTGGCTGTCTTCTTGAAGAAGTCATATTAAGTTATCTTTGTGGTTTTTTTTCCATTTTGTCAAACTTTGATTCTCTATCCTCATTGAAAGAAGGTTATTTGTGGCACTTTGTAGTGCTCTTAATCAAGAGCACCACACTTCGCAAAAGATAAGCGTGAAGTCAACCAAAATGCTGCATTAAGCACATGCTGTTCTGCTTTTCATTTTTCTTTTTAAATATATAAACCCGCCTAATAGTATCATGTTAAAACTAAGCAGAGAGACGTAGAAACAATTAAATCCCTTAACGAAATATGAAGAAGGAATTAGCAGATAAAATGAATAAAGGGGCCAAGTAGTTTGGTTTTTTGTTGCTTTAAAAAAGATTAGGGGAAAAAAGAGGAGGAAGGGTAGTTCGAGTGCCAGTGATGGTTGCCAGTGGCACCAGGATTGGCATCAGACCTTCTTTGTTTAGCCTAGGATGCCTGTGATTTGTTGGTTGGCATCCGCATTGCAGTGCAGAGTAATGTTACAATATATTGACAATTTCCAGATCTAGAAGTGTCAATAATCTTTTCAGTTCTTAATAAAAAAGAGCTTCTACTTCCATGCCTGTCTTGAAAGAAGAAATAAGGACTGAACTATGAAGTTCTGTCATGGACCAATTTCATCTCATTCTACTTTTCGCTCATCTGCCTCAGAATTTGTTGGAGCAATTTAGGAAAGCTATAGCTGTCATTGCAGTATCATCAAAGAAAACAAACCAACCCAAAAAGAAAAAAAAAAAGAAAAAAGGGCTTGGCATAGGTTGCAATGCTGCTCCTTTGACTGAAATGGTGGAAGAAAATGGGAAGTATACACTGTGATCAATGTTTAACATCAGAATAGTTCTTAATCATAACACACTTCTGCAGGGCTCTGCTTGTTGTGTGTATCAGGTCCTGTCCCTCCCCCCTGAGTTTTTAAAAAGCCCAAATGTTGAAAACGGCACGAACGTTGTTTCTATTGACAAAACTGCCTTTTTTTTTTTTTTCTTCTTTCTTTCTTTTTTCTGTCAGGCATCAGAGAGTGTCTATCATTGGGTATGAAACGCATCTCAGTCCATAAAATCATTTGATGGTATTTGATTCAGTGCAGCGCTTATGCTGTGTTCCCGTTGCTACAAGAACCGCCATTTTGTTTGTCGAGTGCCAGGAAAGGGGAAAAAAAAAAGGCAGACAATGTGCTTGATGCCAATAATGGTTGCCAGTGGCACCGAGGTTGGCATCAGACCCTCTTTGTCTAGTTGCTGAATGCCTTTGATTCGTTGGTTGGCATCCGCATTGCAGTGGGCACATTGGAAAGTTTTTGACAATCAGTGAATGAAAGCTGCAGTACTTGTTTGCTGCAACAGAGCCCAGATAATATAAATCCCTTCTTCTGATAGATGTTTTACTTACTCTTACAATAGCTAATTAAAAAAAAAAAAAATTAAAAATCGCATTGGCGTTTTTTCTAAAACATAAAATATCTACAGCAATGTGCCTCATCTGCAGAATTCCTAATCCCCGCGTCATCTCTGCTGTTTTTGTGCAGCATAAATGAAATGCAAACTTGACGTTAGGTATTTCAGCACTTACTGGATGAGGCATAGTCGACCTGGAGAAATGTTTTGGGAGTTTAAAGGACTGAAGCAATGGTACATGTAAATGGTAAACATTTGTAAGTGTTTTTAATGCATGTGCCTCACAGAGTACATTTCTCAGATCAGTCATGTTACTGTTTACATTCTCCTTTGTCCTTGTGTAAGAGTGATATAATGGGGGGAGCCCACATCCCCAGCTGCTAATAAACTCCGAAGCTGAGGGAGGGGAGGATCATTTAAACTATCCAAGAAGGAGGGCAGAAAATAGGTGCGAATGTCCTTAGTCCGACGCTGTTCAGGCACTCTTGGTTTTTTTACTTCGTAAACCATCAAGATGCTGCTACAGTTCCAGCTGCATGACTTTGTTACCAGGAAATCAGAAAAAAAAAAAAAAAAAAAAAAAAACAAAACATTTTTTTTGGAAGTTTTCCCGA